TGTGGGGTTTGGTTTGTGGGGGTGTGGGGGTGTGGGGGGTGTGGGGGTTGTCGGGGGTGTGGGGGGTGGGGGCGGGGGTGTGGGGCGTGTGGGGGAGTGTGGGGGTGTGGCGGGATGTTTTGTGGGGGTGTGGGGAAGTGTGTGGTGGTGTGGGGGAGAGGGTGTGGGGGTGTGGGGGTGTGGGGTGTGGGGGTGTGGGGGTGTGGGGGTGTGTGTGGGTGTGTGTGGGTGTGTGTGGGTGTGGGGGTGTGGGGGTGAAGGTGTGGGGTGAAGGGGTGGGGGTGAAGGTGTGGGGGGGTGGGGGTGGGTGTGGGTGTGGGGGGTGGGTGGGTGTGGGGGTGGGCGGGTGGGTGTGGGTGGGTGTGGGTGGGGACATCGACACATGAGTTGCTTCTAGGTGCAAACTACAGCGTTCGGTGTTGCATGTTACGTGAGTGCTAGATCGAGTCTCTTGCGTTTGATTGACTCTTGTGACACATGGCATGAATTTGTTGCCTGCAGCCGTGTGCATTTCGGATGTGCCTGTCAGAGCTTACGTAGTCATGCCGTGGTTGGAGTGGTGCCCTGATCCAACAACCTGACGCTCAATGGGTCAAGGTCTTTCACCCAGGTACATGGACACTACATGAGGATCATGATGAATATTGGGAGTGGAAGTTGTTCCACACACATGATGGCGTTCAATCCACTGTTCAAACATGGTACAAACGTGACTGGACCACTGAAGGATACAGGCGCGTTGCTGCTCCGGAGCCGGAGCGGGACTTGGCTTCGATTCTATCCCCTGACCAACACAGCGTGGCCACACAGTCATCAATCCTGAGCATGTCCCCGCAGGTGTTGGAGGCGATCCTACGATCCTCTGATGCATCCACCTTCTCCACCGAGGATCTGACCCGTCTACAGGCAGGGATTAACCAACAACTTGCGGATCGAATGCGGCAAGCATCAACGCCTCATCAGCCAGCACGGACTGCTCAAGACGCGGATCAGCTTCAGTCTGAACCTGAAGCGCTCACTGAGCACTATCCGCCCACAGGCCGCCCTTGCAGTTCGAATGTCAACGAGAAGTCCATTTTTGAAGTGGTTGCTAAGTAGACAGACGAGCATTGATCTTGCAGCAAAATGGTGCTATCTTGATGTCTTGCATGCTTGTGTGTTGTTCGTTGCGCATGTTCGCAGTTTCTTTTGCGCTCGTGGCTGGATCGGATACCGTGGTGCAACCCTTCTTCCACCGCAACATGGAAATTGACGCTGCAGCCCAAACCCGGGACCTGGATGGCGCTCAACAACCATGGCTGGAATATTCATTCTGGCAGGGACAAGAATGGGTGAAGGTCTACATTCCTGGCGAACTTTGACTATGGCACCAACATGAGGACGTGCCAACACTTTTCGAGTGTGGAAACCGGTGCTCCCATTACAGGAGGAGACTCAAGGCCATGATGATTGGCAATCTGAGCAGGGTCACCAATCGCATCTTCACCACTTCAGGATTGTCAGCATCAGGGTTACCAGCGGATACTGACCCGCCACGAGTCCCGGATATTGACCCGCCACGAGTCCTTTTCCGTCAACAATGCCTCGGCTGAACCGCGTGATGTCGCGTAGAACCCGGATGTCTCCATTCAGGTGGAACAACTTGGTACATCTCAGCGCGGTCCTCTTCAGCATGATCGCAACCTGATGGACCTCTGGACCTCTTCACCTACTCCCCGCCTCTGACAGATACCGCACATCGGTCCTCGATGTTCCTTCCGCCAGTCTTGCCATCAATTACTGCGCAAAGGGGCGTACCATTTCCAGCTGAACTTGGTGATGGTGTCCCCGTCTTCTGAGCGGCATCGCACAGAACGTGCTAATTCACGTTCTCCTCGCCGCTGTGGATATTTTGGTAGACACTAGGAGGTTGCAGACTTGGTCTTCCGGATGCAAAAGGTATTGTTTGGCCCTCCTGGAGGGGCGTGCGTGTGTGCGCGGAGTGGCAGAATACCCTGCCACCAACCTTTTCTTCTTCAGCAGGGGGCTCTCGGAGCCTGCATGGGACGGGAGCCAACGAAGACGCCCACGCAGCGCTCGTGATGCGGATTGGGACGCCAACCCGTGCACCTGCCGATGATACAAAGTCCTTTTGGCCCGTTGTTTCTCTCGCTGTGTGTGCTTCATGTTGAATTTGTAACGTTTTCGCTGCTAGAAGGAAGCCAAGTGACTGTGAGCCGAACCTACACCCACTCGAGACTCATCAGTTGCACTTGAGACTCATCGGTTGTACTCGAAGGATTAGCACTCTCCCTTGGAAGTTGAAGTGTGTGTGTGTGTGTCCAATCCTGTTTACTAAGGGCGGCGTGTAATTCGAAGCTCAAAATGCAAGCCGGAAGGATTTGCAAACTGCGGAGCTCGGTCGTTGTTCTTTTCCTGTTTTCCCCTCCCTAAATCGTGGGACTTTAGATTTCCCAAAAAGCAAGCCGGAAGGCTTTGCGAACTGCCAAGAACGGTAGTGCCAGCGGCCCGGAACCTCCCCGGAACCTCCGTTTTTTCTGTACCCGTGGAGTAGGCCACAGCCATCCTTGGGTCTAGTCTGTGGCCCTGACGAGTAGGGCCCAAGGATGACGCCTGTGGGACTCGCACTTGCCTGGACCCAAGCTGCTCAACGCGCAACATCCGGTCCGTTGTCCTCAACAAGGAAGGCTTGACCAGCGCCAGCGCACTCAGCCTCAACAAGCCAGACCGCATCTTGGACGCGGCCCTCTTCGCAAGCAACAGCACACAGGCCCAGCGGACGGAGCTGATGCTGGCGGGATCGCTTGAACTTTCACGAGGGCCTGGCCCAGCATGTCTACGGCAAAACCTTCGTGGACTCCTTTGAAGACCTGTGCCGGCAGTATGACCTAAATGACCAGTCTGAACTTGCAGGATTACCCGACCTGGCGGTCTGCCCGGGATTGCGGGAGCGGTGAAGAGATGGCTGACGCTCGGCACAAGGATCCAAGACCGTTTGCAGAATTCTCAGCGCGCAGCGCCACCTCACGGAAAGGGAGCCGAGGGGTTGAAGGATCTGCTAGCAAATGGCCGCGTGTCGCGGCGGCGCAAGAGGAGCTGGCGAAAGACCCTTCCAGCGTGGAGAAACTGGTGTCCTTCTTCACCGCGGCGGTGACAGAACGACACGAAGCCGACGAAAAAGTCGTCGCGGGCAGGACAGCCGAGTACCAAGAAACTGCATGGCGGTTGTGAAACTGTCGCCTTCTCCGTCCAGGCTCGCGCGGAAGCCCGGCAAGTGAACTTATTCCTCGAGCAGCTGGCCAGCTTCGACGGCGGCCGCAAAAGCTAAAGGCGCTTGTTTGGACGGCATCGACGCCGCTTCCCAAGCTGGGTGGGATGAGATCGTTGGCTCACCTGAACATACAGGACAAGACAACGAACTAACGGAGCTGATCCAAGAGATTAAGAACAACAAGCGGCCGAAGCCGGCGGCAGCTTCGACGTCCAAGAAAGCGACTGTCCCAGAGGTCCCGGCAGAGAAGAACGCCGCAAGCAGTGAGTAGACACGCGGCATGGGGAGCGCGTCGGCCGGCGCGCCGCGAGCGCGAGTCTCGCCACGCCGGCCGTCGCTGTGGAAGAAGATTTGAAGCGCAGGACGATTTTGGAGCGCGTCAGCAAAAAGGTTCGCCTATAACAACAAGTTAATATATAAACCAAGGATCAAAATTTAGAAGCCCGCGACATCATTTCACGTGCGAAGGATTTCTGGGTCTGACGCGGAAACGGCGTGATACTCAACGGCGTTTGCATTGATGTTGGGTGCAAAGCAGACAGAGTTCAAGCAGTAAAGCAGAGTCAGACTTGTACAAGCCGTCCACGACACCACTTTGTAAAAACAAGCACGAAATGCGTGGGGAACACAAGCGCAGCAAAGATGATTCAGATGATTTGACAGACATGTATATACGCGTGGTTCTTGCAATCAGACTTCAGTGTAGTGTGCAATTCTGACTGCAATCCGAGTTTATAGACCTGGACACGCGCCACGGAGAGTGTGTTGTTTTGTGAATTTTGAAGGATGAGTCTACCGCGAACGAGCAGTTTTGCATATGAGTTTTGCATGATGTGATGTAGCGCGTGCTTTGTCGTGCGAGTTTTCTTTGAACTGATATAGCTTGCGCAAACAACTGTGCCGCGGGAGATTCGTTTCCCTCCGCCCCCCGCAGACTGAACACAGACTTCCGGCGTGGAATCCAAAGATGGTCCAAGTTAAATTCTGAAGGAGTTGAACCTAACTTGAACCTAGACTAGAATACCGATTTTCTTCTGGGTTGTGGAATCTGAAATGCAGTCCAGATTGGAATGCGCAAATGCATTCCTACGCTGGGTCCAAGACGAAGTAAGGTTCTTCGCACCGTGATTTACCACGCAGTGCCCGCATTGGTTGGTTTCCAGTGGCCGGGTGTTTTTACTGTGCCCCCAAATTGGTTGAACCATAGTTCCGTGAGGTGAAGGTGATGATGGGCAAGGGCTATGTCGAGGTGAAGCGAGCAGACATCGACAAGGCGCCAACGCAAGACGAGGGGTTTGCCAAAAGACAACCCCTTGAAACGCGTGGTTACCCTTCGATTTCCTTAGCCACCCCAAGGAATTCTTTCAAAGACACCACATGCCATTTCTGGATTGTCTTCTTTTCGTACGAGTGCAGCAAACCCAGCCTGCGTTGCCTCAACATGTAAGCGGCAATGGGCCCGGCCACCTTCCCCCCACCCCGCCGTTGACCCAACGCGTTGCTTGTTGTTCTGTTTGTCAGGTTGGTTTTCTTCCGCCTTGCCTCATCCATCCCCTCCCTGTTTCCTTTGACAGCCCCTTCCCTTTATCAGCCAAACATCTTGGCGCCATGTTTTTCCCCGCGGAACTGGGTGTGTCTTTCCTTTCTGTGTGGTACCCCCGTGCGCGTGGTTGAAAGGGCCCTCCAAAAGGACAACCGAAGTGCGGGGGTCCAAACCAAAAACGATGCGCGCCCGGAATTTGGGTTGTCCCCATCTCCACAAACCAAAGTGGACTCATGTTGTCAGTTGCTCACAAATCCCATTTGGACGTGTCTTTAAGGGGCCCCCAATTGTGGTTGTCCTCTTATTCCCCTTAACCCCCCAAGAAAGGGGCGCCTGGTCCATCGGCACGAAAATCGGCGAAGGGCGCCGCCGTCATCAAGACCCTGGAGGCGGTCGGGGCGGTGGACTTTGTGCTCTGCGTGGGCGACGACCGGTCCGACGAGGACATGCAACCTGGCGCAGAAGATGGGGGGCGTTGTTTTTGAGGGGGCCCTTGTTGCGGCGTATTTTCAGCAGAAACCAAAGGGAAGCCACTTGTTTTGTTGCTCCCCCTATGTTAAGACACCACCACCACCGGCCTGCAACACATTGGACAACCATTTGATGTCAGGAGAATATGGTGGACACATAACGTCTATCTTGCGGTGCCCTTTAGGAATTTGCTCTTCAGGCTCTTTAGCACCCCAGTTTTGGCAAAAGTGGACTATTAAACGCTATCCAAATTCCAATCTTGGCACCACTCATTTACGCATTTACAGGGCTTGCTTTGCCCGATTCCGGAAGGCAGATTCATAGAGTTGTTTTTCTGCTGGTTTCCTTTCAAGCACAGCCACGTGTAAAGGGGATCTCAAAAAAAGAAGTCCATGGAGTGGAATTGCTCAAGGTTGCTTTTGGCTTGCCCAATCCTTCCCAACACGTAGCATTTCCCGATGAACGTGGGAAACCTGTAGCTTGCGTCTGGCCTTTTGTTTTTTTGTTTTTTTCCGCCAGGAAACCAGTGGCAAATCGCTCACTTCCCGGGTTGAGGGACGTTAAACTGTGAGGAGTTCATATGTTTCGGACCAATCCACGGAAGATTCTCTTTGCCCTTGCGCTCTCACAAGATGGCAGCCAGTTTGCTCTCAGATGGCAACCAGTTTCGATTGTTGGATTTGGGTTCTCATGGGCTGGTTTTATGAGGGAGTCTCTTTGAACGGGTGACACCCCATCACCCAGATTCTGCGAGATTCACCTGGTGCGGATACCGTGTGAACCAAGGCTAAACAATGCATACGAACGGATATGTGCCAAAATCGGAATTCGGACACCCAAAATGGTGCTTGTAGTTTTGGTTTTCAAATCCCTCACACGACAAGTCTTTGCTTGTTCCGCCCAAGCCAAGCTTGAGTCTGCGTTTACCCTGTTCGGGGCCTCCCTGGCTTTGGATTCCCGTTCCAGAGTTTGGAACACATCAGGAGGGGCTCAACCAGTTTGGGATTCTAGAGTTCTAGAGTACCCCGCAACCTCATTACTCCCCCTTCCAGCCACCAGATTCATCTCACGGGGTAAATCGAAATCATGACAAAGGTCCCTCAAACTCAACCATGGGGATTCCAATCGTCTGACTCAATTTAGACTATCCAACAAAGGAAGTGGAAGCCCTGGGCTTTCTGAATTGGAACGTAGTCTTTTCAACCCCCTGTCAGCTTTGGTTCTCGACATGCCGCTAGCCGAGGTTCCAAGCCATCACCGAGTACTTCCAACGGCCGCCCAAGGAGACGGAAGGTTCGATGGTGTTCGTTGGGTTTTTTTTGTTCTCTACACACATATCCATTTGGCAGAGTTAAACAAAGAAGTGCCTGAGGTCCGGGAGAACGCGTTTCTTTGGGGACACTGAGAGCTTTTCCATGTGGAACCAGTTTGGGGATGGGTTTCCTTCCAAAACCCTCCAGCTCCACTTCCCCCCACCCCGCCAACGCCAAGCGCGCATGCGAAGCGCAAGCGCAGGAGCCCTCCCTGGCGAGCGCCTTGTCCCAGTCCCAGGCCTCCATCAAGAAGAGCATGCAAGGGCGCCTCGGCCTCGCGCGACGCGCGATGCGCGCTCGACTCGATTCGGACACGGAGAAACAAGCATAGGAGGTTGGAAAGAAGCAGGGTTCATTCGCCAACCGCCTGAAACATCTGGACTTGAGTTTGGATGACCGGTTTAGTCGAGCAAACACAAAGTTCGGACTTTTTCTGGACAAGGAAGTGAGTTAAGCCTTCAACTTTTGTACCAGGGGACCTGCAACTGTTACCGCCTTGAAGGGTGGGTTTAGGGTGTTAGGTTCCATGTGCGTCTCTTTGTGGGGATTGGGATGTTCACTGGGGGTACGGGATTTTCACCCATGGCCGTATTTTCAGATATACTGAAACCCTGCAACAGAAGGGTGGCTCGGATCCCTGAGCAGCCCATTTCTGCCTTTTGTTCAGTCTTCTCAAAAGTTGAGCAGCTGACAGCTGGTGCCGCTGCCGAGCGAGGATGCGTCAAACGTGGAGACTGTTCATATATCACTGAAACGGTCTTCTCAAAAACGAAAAGTGAGACCGTGGTTGTCTCAGCGGACAGATTTCTCCCGTGTCTTGCGGACCAAAGCGGGAATTCCCCACTGTGATACCAGGGGAAGGCCTTCGAGATCATTTGAAGATACACCCTAAACCCTCGCTGCAAACTTGGCTACCCTCAGGCAGCTTTCAACCTGATGGTATCTCAAGAGGTCCATCGATGCCTGGCAGACCGGACAACTAAAGCCTTTACCACTGACATGACGCCAACATGTTGGTGAATCACTTTTCGGAGAATGATGCTTTCCTATATACATCCAAACTGGTGCAGGATGTTGTCCATCCGCAGTATTTCAGGAACCCTCGGCCTTTGTTAGCCGACAAGGAAGCACGCACTACCCTCTTTCCAGAAAACCCTGAGAAACCCAGGGCAAAGGCAGACTTTTGAAAAGAACGATGGTTGACAAGAATAGAATGGTTGGAGTCAACCCCCAGAACAATGCAACCAGTCGCCTGTGAGCTTATCCCAGGAAACGTCAGGGGAGTGCAAAAGGAGTGCTCCCCAAAGCGAGCGAGGTCCATGGCATCGATGGAGGGCTTCGATGTCTCGCCGTCCTCCGCAGCGTCCCCCAAGGCCAATGCCGGGCCCTCGGTTTCGTTGTTTCTATGAATATATCTCTATATATATATATATATGTATGACTTTATTATTTTTGTTGATCGCGTGGGCGACCGGTTCGGTAAAGTAAACCCCTCTCGGGTCTCGGACAAAGACCTCAAAATGTGCGGCTTTCCTGTTGGTCTCAACCGCTTGATACCCAGTGGATCCCAATTACCCATAGATAACCCTTCGCTACAATCCATTTTTGTCCGGGTGGCAAGGTTTTGGTCACCTACCAGGTGAATGGATCCACTGGGCAAAAGTTCGGACTTGTTTTTGGCCACTCAGGAAGTGAGTTTCATCATAAGTTTCCCGGAGTGGGCCCCCCGTTGATGACTTCCATTTCCTGAAATGAATATGTGTTATGTTCCCGTGTTCTTAACAAGTTTGGCAGGTGAAGGTGTGAAGGTAACACACATAGTTCCTCGCCAGAAAATTGGCTGGTTGGAAGGGAGCGGTTGCGGAGCCGATCGGAGTTCTGTAAGATGCTCGTTCATTTGGTCTTAAGGACCCCGTTCCAATGCTTTAGACCCTGGGGGGGTTCTCCAGACGTTTTTTGCGCTGGGGCTCTGAGTGCAAAGCATTGATCCTGGTTAGACAGAGCAAATGCCTGCGGTCGACTCGAAAGTGATTCGCGCAAAAGATCCAAACAGTGAACCAGCCATGTTCAACTGAGGTGAGGGGTCAAAAGCTCAAGTCGCTTTGGGCGTCAACCGACACCACCCACAACCCACTCCATGTTGTTTCGGGAAATCCTCATGACCTCGGTGGAAAAATAGTTAGATCCAATTGTTGGTGCCTAACTTACGTGAAAATCAGAAACAAGTGGGAGGGTGTGTGAGCAAGTCGCATTTCCATGGGGACACTCACCCAAATTGATGAGTTGCCAACGTTAGCTGGTGCTAGCAAGCTCTCGGCGTTTCTGCTTATATTAGTTGTCCACCATTTTAGTACAAGTTTCTTAGTGCCCTTTTAGGGTTCCCCTACTAAAATAGACTACAGAAAGAAGGGTACCCTTCTTCTAACCTCTCTACTGGAGGACCTATATATTTATTGAATATTTAATTATTGAATATGTACCCTCACCCAGGCGGAGAGAAAGTCCACAGCGCCCAGCCGGAGCGTGGCCTTCACTGACGATAGTGTTGCCCTGCACTCAGTCGAGTCCATCCGAGTCAGTGGGGTCAGGTTCATCGGGGTTTGGCCATGACTCAGTTTGGTCATGTGCTTCCAGGTTTTTGTTTTTTGTTTGGTCCTGCGCTCAACCGGATGCAAAGCCGTAGGAGCAAACAGTGTCTCTGGAAATAGGGATGCCCTCAGTTGGTGTCCTGGTGGTTTCAATTTGAATACAGTGCCAACCAAAAGGGGTCCAGCATGTTGAGAAACTTCCATAAAAACGGGGGGGGAACTCCCTGCCCTAAAAAAATGAGGGTTCCCACTAGAAACCAGACATGTGCCTTTTGGTTTTGAAAGAGCGAAGTGAACCCATGGTTTTCTTATGTAATGACAGGTATTACTGGATGCTGTTGCTTCCTTTGGCTCCCCTTGGCTTCTCCCGTTGCCTAGAAGTTTAGCTGGAAGAGCTACCCTGGCTAGAGCCACGAGACTGGAAAAGGGGGGAGGCTCCAAACATTGGACGCTCTCTTTTAGTTTGTCTGGCACATCTTAGCTTTCCCTTGCTTTGGATGGGTGGTTTGGAGGTTACCTTCCAGGGCTTCAAATCCCCCTCGATCCGAACCGCGAAGGACGTTTGGGATTCAAGCAGCTGAAAGGAACCATAAACGGTACCCTTCAGGGTTAAAACGGAGACTAGTGAGGAAGCCTCAAAGGTGCGAGGAAACCACAGGTCTTTTCGTTGGGCGTGGCCACTTTTTCCCCGCAAAAAAGGGTCTTCCTCTTGGTTTCCACTTACCAAGCAGGCGTCCCCGAAACCCGAGGACATGCCGGCCACCGCGGCGTCGCCCTCGCCGGTGGACCGAACTGTCCGGGTGCGCCCGGGTCAGGGAGGTTGGGAACCTGAAGGTTCAGCATCGGGCTTTTGTTTGCGGTTGAGCCCAAGTTCTTTCTTGTGGCTGTGGCTGTTGTTGGGAATGGTCACGACCGTTAATTGCGTTTCAAATGAATCAATATATATATATATATACATATATATATATATGTGGTACCCCCTTTGCCGGGACCCCACCCCGCCAGGCCAAAGCAAAAGCTCAAAAACTGGGGATAAACGCTGAAGTAACACATGCCTTTTGGCTCTCACTGAGTTGGAATGGCCCGGCCCCCAACCATCCTCTGTGATCCTTTTACCAACGCAAACAAAATCCTTCTCGCAGAACCAGCCTTTCGAAAGGCCATAGGCAATGGGCAGAGCCTCGCCGCCAGGCCCATGCCACGCAAGTCTTCACCGCGACGGTGGGGAGGAAACCGACACAGGCGCCAAGGGGTTTCTTGGTTTGCTGTAGGGCTGATTCGGCCTGGTTGGTTTGGCAATGGGCGGGGTGCCCTGGTGCCTGCCTTTCAGCTGCAAGCAAAAGCTGTTCAACTTCTACAGAGTACTGGACTAAGAAACCAATGGGAACCTGTTTGGGGTTGAATCCAGGGGAGGGCGGGTGGTTTTAGAAAGCTGCGGTAGCTCTGCATGGGTTTTGGATCCCTTCAGCACCCAGGTGTTGATTGACAAAAATGAGCACCGAAACTGTTTTGCTCAAACCAAGCTTCGGATCTATGGTTAAACCAAGCGCGTTCTGTGTTGTTTATTTACGTGCATGATATTATGTCTTGGGTTATGCTCATGGTTGCCCAGTGGTTTTCCCTGTGTGGTCAAGACGCAGGGTTCTTACATGTGTGCTCTTGACTTTCACTGGGCTTGAAGGTGACCCAGTTACTTCTGGAACAGCAGGCTCCCTCATGCGGGCTTTGCTGCTCGGAGCCCCAAAATTTCCGAGACTACTGGACAAACACGGATGCATCATGCCCCAAACGGGTTTATCTCAAGGCGGTTTCGGAACGTGGAAATGGGTTTTGGGTATTACCTTTACCTTTCCCGTTAGGACCACCCCAAGAGTAATTCTGACAGAAAAGACACACCCTGGATTTGTGGCACGTACCCTTTTCATTGTCCAAAACTGTTTGCTACGTGTCCTGCCAAATCCAGTGGCGCCCTGCGTTCCAGTATGCGTACCCATGAAACGTCTGTGGTTTGGAGGTAGATTTGCCTATATCCCGTTTATGATACCACGCAACACAAATCGGCCTCTTGGTTTTCCCTTGGTACTTTTGGTAAAGATCCCAAAAGATGATCACCTGATATGATTCCAGCGTGATTTGAACTGAAGTTGGCACGTTCCAAGCCTTCCGTTTCGCAGGCGAAGTACTTCTTCGCAGACATCCACGAGGTGTCCACGTGTCTCAAGAAGCCCCACGGCGTTGAAAACACGAAGCGATTGGAGCGGCGGCTTGGGGTGGTGGGGTGGTTTTTCAGGGTGGCTTAGGGGCTGCAGGGGCGGGTGGGGTTTTCCCACGGTGCAAAAGAATGTGCATGGCCAGACGACTAAGCCCCAAGCTGGACTTACATATTTCAACGTCATTTGTTTGGCATGGGTCCGTGAAACTCGACCAACCACACACTCACTTCCCTGAACTTGCTTGGCAAACAAACTGTGTGTTTTTATTGGATCCACTGAGAAAGCAAGCTCTAGACCCAGTTCTCACCAAATCAAACCCCAGGGAGGACCCGCGAAAAGCAGTGGAAAGTCCCGGCGTCTGAAGGTTCAAGGTGCGCTTCGAGGTTGCATTTCTGGGGTGTTCCCAGCACTAAGGGCCGGTTCTTTTTGTTTCTCTTCAACCCAGCCACACAGTGGACTCCACCCTTAGTTTCCTTGTTGTTTTCGGCTTCCCGACGGAAAATGGGCTCAACCCCAAGAAGCCTTCCGCATATTTTTCCACCAGTGTCACCCGTCTGCTTGCCATGGTCGGAGCGCTGAGGTTGGCTACGCAGGCAATTGTGCCTCGGCCGCCATGGAGTGATTCCAGGGATCCGGGGTAAGAACCAAGCAAGTGGGTCCGTTGCTTGTCGCATGTCAGGTCTTAGGATTTCGCAAATATAAATTGTAGATCTGGTGCCAGCTGCTTGGCGTCGTGTGGCCTCGAATGCCAAGCCCCTCTCGGATGGCTTGTCTCGAAACAGGAAATCCGTTTGATTCGTTCTCGTTGGGGTTCCCAACCCAAAACACGCCCAGAATCCTGCCCCGAATCCGATGTCGGTACTCTCCCCATTATTTTCCTTCTGAAAACTGGATGGGCTGGTTGTGATTTGTTTTTGAAGCGAGATGGCAAAAGGCTCAGAGCTATGGTTGCTTGGGCGCTTCGGGCTTGCCACTTTCTGCGAGTCCACTTCACAGTCACCCAGTTGCCGAGTGCCCTTTTTTCCTTTTTGACCTTCCCCTTCAAACTCGACCGACCAAAAAAGGATGCCCTTTTATCCTTTTATTCCCAGGGCCACTGGGCATCTGAAAGTCTAAGAGCCCGCCGGATGCTTCATGAAGTCGGGGCATTTGGGGAATTTTCGGCGCTTAGGTGGGCTCCTTCTCGCGCTTCGCGTCCATGCCGGACATCAACATGCAGGCCCTTGCGCCCCCCCTTCCTCGGAAAGCCGAAGTCTTGATTTTGGTGTGGATTTGACTGGGTCCCGGACCCTTTCGTTGACAGATTTAGGTAGAGATTCATGTCCACCAGCCACATCTCAGATGGTTCAAAAGTGAGCTTGTTTTGCTCAAGATTTGGGCTTGCTTCAAGTAGTTTGTGTGCTTTTGGTGTCGAAGAGAAACCACAAAAGAGAGCCCAGTTTGAGACACACCCACAAATGCTAGTCTATGAGTCGATTCTTTGATGAGAAGGGCCAGTTCCAATTTCCCATTTCCAAGAAGAACACAGCTCGGGGGGGGGTCGTTGGTTTGACAAGGCTGCCAAAGCACGCATCGATCTTGAAGTCCCGCGACTGGTAAGCAGTCAAGTTCTGCTTCGGCCACATCAGACACGTAAGTCTCACTTAAACAGAGTTCCGGAACTCGGACTTTTTCAACTTGGGCAGGAAGACTATAGCGGTAAGTCCAAACAGTTTGGTGGCCTTTTTTTTGGCCAAGCCGCTCGATCAGAAGTGAGCTAACTCCTACTTTCGGACACTCAACGATGTGATCTACATGGCGAATAGTTTCAGCATAGATCCTGAGAAGCGGCTGTAGGACCACATCAATTGCGCCTCCAACCGATGCCTCGCTGTGTCCTGGTCTTGGTTGTTTTTCTCAGGACTTTGTTCCAGGGAGAGTTTGACGTGTCTCCCATGTCCTCGTTTGGGGCTGCCAAACAAAACGAATCCACTTCGAGCATTTTGCCAGGTTGAGCTTCAGAGTGGTTCGGAAGGAGAAGGGGAGGAGCGGGAAAAGCCTCGGAGTGGTCGACGAGTTTCGGCTAACGAGTTGATTGAATCCTTGATAGTGCACGTGTATCTAGGTCGCCCAGTGTCCTTTTACCAACTGTTTTTTGCGGGGAGGGTTCCGATTCCTACTCAAATAGACTACCAAAAGAGTTGGTACCAACTTCTTCCAACCTCTCTGGAGGACCTGGGTCTTCTTTTTCCGGTGGCTCTTTCCGAACTCTTCAACCAACTTCCTCATGGGAGCTGAGGAACTTTCAGCAAGTCCCTGAAATCGACCGGGAGTGCCTGGAGTCGACAGATGTGTATGGCGTGTTTTTTGTTCACCCAGTCGGTCAATGTGTGGTCCTTGGTTCCGACCACAGAGCGAAACATTTGTTTAGAGGCTCCGCAATGGACCCACCTATTCTTGTTCTCACAGTGTGTGTAACAGGAACTTCCTTTTGGCCTACCTGAACCGCCGGACAACACATAACTCACCACAAAATGTTCAAAAATTCAAGAATGGGGGGTTCCTTTTAATTTGGGTGTGGCTCAAAATGAAAGATCTCACGCGGGTTTTTAGTCTTTGGTCGAAGGTGTCATTTTGGTACATTTGGGCCACTGCCACGTCACTTTTTTGTGGCCATGGAAGGGTTGGTGGTGTTTTCTGGTTTCCCCTCAAAAATATCCACGGGGGGTCTTTTGACTTGACTTCGTGTTGCTTCTGTCCACGTTTCTCTCACGAACACACGCAGGACTTCAAGCTGGGGCGATCCACCACTGCCAGCAGCGCTGGGACCCCAAAAAAAACCGCCTCGGCGCTCCTGAAAGGACGAGGAGACTGCTAGGGAGTTTGCAGACAGCTTCCATGTTAGATGGGGGGGTAGCTTTCCTTGTGCACTGGTTGCCTTTTGGTGTTGCAGCAGTTTGGCCCTCAGCTGCGACAAGTCAACTTTTTGAGTGTCTTGATCTGGCAAAGGTTGCACACCCAAACAACCCTTAAATTGTTGTTTGGTTGCCCTCTACACCAAGAGGCAACACGGAGCTTAAAAAGAACGTTTGTGGTTGGGAAAAACTGGGTGAACAAGTGCCACCAGTTGTCTGAGATCAAGGGTAGCCATGATAGTGGGCAACCAGAATCGTCGCCTCTTTGAGAGTGCATAATTGTTCGGAGCGGGCCACCATTCTACAGTAGGCAACCAGGAGAGTTAGCAGGATAGTTGCTTGAGGCGTTTCCTGGATGTTCACCGAAAGGGAGGGAAGGGCTTGCTCTTTAGGGGGTTGCCGACAAAATGTGCTGATATAGGAATAGTTTTCCTTTTGGGTTCCCTTGAGAGCGAGGTGAGAATGATAGCCTCAACAAAGCATCATATGTTCTTTGCCCTCCTCTACTTTCCTATCCAATTTGGGGACAGTGTGGTTGGTCCTGTCCACATTTCGGGCGAAAGACACCTTTTTTTGGCTCGCAAAGGGATCAACCCAAACTGGCCGGCTTGCGGGGGACAGATCGCATGTGAGGTTTGGGACTCGATCTCACCAGAAAGCAGATCGTAAACGGATTGACAGTAGCCTTTGGAACGGGTCGCCGAGTTAGGATTGAGCTTTGCGGAGGTTATACCTGGTTGAACCACCATCTCGTGGCAGCAGCAAAGACCCCAAGCAGTTGAGGACTGACGGGCAAGCACAAATATGCCAACAGCTGGTGGCTTTCTGCGCTTCAACCCGGATGAATCAAAATGATGCAGTCGTGAGCCAGGCACGCGTTGCGTCGCTGCACGTGTGTCGCTGGCGAGCTTCGCGCTTCAGCACCGCGCAGGAACTGAGGTTGGGCAAGCGCGTGCGATAGCGAGCGAGCGCGCGCGCGTGAACGCAAGTGTGGCTTCGCAAGCGCGCGGTCTCATGGGCAGCTCAGACACACATGTCCAATTCAGACACACATGCGTGTGTGTGTGTGTGTACACGTGGAACACACATATGTATACGACTGAAACAGTACACGCGGCACGCGCAGATGTGCACCCGGCGCACGCATACGTGTGTTGAGCTGGAAAACCAAAGCACACACACACACACACTTGCGTACACCTGGAACACTCATATGTGTTCACCGACGACACGCTACTGTGTTCACGTGGAACACACATGTGTTCACTCGGAACACAATGAAACGCGTGTCCAATTCAGACACACATGTGTGTACACGTGGAGCACACGTGTGTTCACCTGGAACACACACACGTGCAATTAAAGCACACATGTGTGCACATGTGGGACACACATATGTATACCACTGGAACACATATATGTGTCCAGGAACACCGCTTGCGCGATTACAGCGCACATGTGTGTACACGTGGACCACGTGGACCACACATATGTGCACGCGTGAGCAAACATAAATGCTCGCCTAAAGCGCGCACAAACACATGCGCGCGCCTCGAGCACAATCATGCGTTTTCTGGAGCACATACATGTGCACACCTGGAGAGCAAATATGTCGTCAGATGCAAAAAATGTTCACCTAGCACATGGTAATGTGTTCACGTGGAACACACATATGTGTACGGTGTGTGCTCATCTGAATCTTAGAACAAACATGTTTTCCTGGAACGCAAGCACGTGTCCAACTGGAATTCACATTTGCGTACACGCGAACACACACATATATGTGCTTCTGGAACACACACACGAGTGTTCATCTGAAAACAAACATGTGTTCACCTGGAACACATACACGTGCCTGATAAGAACACACATGTTTGTACACGTGAACACACATATGTGTACACGCGGGAGACACACATGTGCGCACGTGAACCGTGAACACACACATTTATGTGCACGCAGAAAACACAAGCACACACGAGTATTCATCTGACAACAAACACGTGTTCTCCTGGAACACAAAAACGTGTCCAGCTGCAACGCACATGTGTGTGCACGTGAACACACAAATGTGTACACGTGGGGCTCACAAATGCGTACACGTGAACACACATACATGTGCATGCGGAGCAAACACGTTTTCATCTAATAACAAACATATGTTCTCCTGGAACACATACACGTGTCTGATAAGAACACACATGTGTGCACACGTGAACACACACATGTGTACACGTGCAACACATATGTGCACAGCTGAACACACATATGTGTACACGTGGACACACATATGTCAGTGCACACGCAAACACACACACACACACACATGTATGCACACCCGGAACACGCGCACACACACACACGCGTTCGTCTGATAACAAAGATGATGTGTTCCTGGAACACGCACACGCACACACACACACACATGCGTACACCTGGAACACATATGTGTGTATGCCTGGAAAACACATCTCTGTTCACCTAGCAACACAGATTTGTGTCCACCTGGAACCCATGAACAGGCATTTGTGTTCACGCGCAGCACTGGTGCAGACCTGGGTCACACAAACATGTTTAACCAGAACAAACGTCTGTGCTGACTTGTAACACACATGCATGTATACACACGTATGCGCACATGTGGAGAAATGTGTGCAACACTTTTTGCAGCACGCATGCGTTCACCTGGACAACCAAAATGTGTTCACATGGAGTTGACATTCTCTGCTTGCTTGTGCGACGCATAAATCAAGATCCTGAAGCCGGCTACGAGGCGCTATTCCGTGCGATCAATCTAGCAATTTTGCAACACGTTGCTAGCGCGCGAGCCTGCTGCTGCTGCTACTACTGCTAACACTATCAGTACCGGATGCGCAGGCTGGGAGCCAATGGGAGACAAATGAAGGGAGACAATGGGAGACCAATGAACCCGTCCACCAAGAGAGCCGTGCCAGGCACTCAGGCTGGGAGACAACGAGACCAGTCACTTGAAATGAATTTGGAACCCCTCAAAGTAAAGTGTTTGGGGACTAGACCTTAGGCATCTTGGCAGAAGCAAAGAGGCTTAGGCGTCAATGAGTTGAAAGGGCGCTCATGTTGTGCGGGGGTTCGACACTCAAAGCTTTTCGGCCAAGTTCCTGAAGAAGCCGCTGGGCCAAGTCTGAGCAGCTCGCTAGGGCTGGAAGGAGGGATGAGTCGAGCCGCCGAAAAGTGGAGCCCGGCAACTTGCTTGCAGCTTTTCTTTGTTGCATTTTGCTTGGCTGTTAGGACTTCAACTGTTTGCCAACTCATGGGTTTTCCATTAAATCACTGAAAGTTAATCTTTTAGCAGGGGAGCAGAAACCTAGTTTTCAGAGAACAATCGAGCCTGCAAACGAAGAAACCAAGCCCAGGGATAGCAAGGATTCCCAGACTGGTAGATGGTTCTCAACAATCCTCCTGTGTCCCCACTTCCACATCCCCGCTGCGATCGTCCAATGCTTTGCCTTGCGTGGATGGACAAATCCTGCAATTGGTAGGTGGTTTATCCCAAGGCCATCCATCCAGACTGGTGCAGGAATTTGTCAACGGCGTAGAAGATGTCAGGTCCTGTTGGCATTGGCTTTGAGCTTCATACTATTCGAGGAGTTCTTATCGGTTGCTGGGTGCCTTCCTTTCATTTGACAGGCTGGCTTTGACGGTGAAACTATGGTTGGCCAGCTATTCCACCTTGATTATTCCCGAATGCGCAGCAGAAGGGTTCCCGTCTAGAGGTTGGGGGTCTAGGGGTTAGGGCGAGGACGTGACCAGAAGTCGTTGAATGTACGTCCCCAAGCGTTCACAAGCGTTCGTATGTGTTTGCAGCGTTTGTATGTGTTCGCGAGTGTCGCGGTTCCAGTGGCAGTAGGGAAAGCGAAAAACGTGCCATTTAGATAACTTGAAGCGTGTCATTTTTCGTGCCCCTGCGCGGGAATCCTAGCTCGTAGCATGTCAGACGTTGTTTTGTTGCGCCAGGCGCAGTGTTTTGTGAAGGTTCACGTTTGCGTTGCAAATCCATTGCGGTTCGCGTTTCAGGGGTCGTCGTTTTGAAGTGTTTCTTGGGCGCGCGGGCAAGCGTTTGTTTGAATGTCCTTTTCGTAGGCCCTGTCGTGCAATCGTCTCGTTTTCACAACTTTAGATTTGCAAGAAGTCGGTTGAAATCATTCTGGCGCTACAGTCCCGCGCTAGTTTTCCGCGTGCGATGCGAGAGTGTCAAATTCTGATTTCGTTGCAGGCGCTGCATTTTGAGCGTTTTGCATGTCGCTGTAGCGTGATGTTTCGTGACAGGCACAGCAATTTAGAGCTTTGCGTGCAAGTTTCGTGGCAGGCGCAGCACTTTAATGGGTCGAGTCGCTCTCGCTGCGGCGTGGTGCGCATTAAACCCGGAGTGGCGAATTTTCGCTTTTTGCTATAGCTACATATATGTTAGTCTTTTCCATCAAAAAACGCATGTTCCTTCAAAAAGCGCCCTTGGGACACCTGCCTAGAACAGGGTTCGGCAAAAACGGCTTTGTATCGCCAAAAAACGCTTTTGTATCGGGGAAAAACGCCTCCGCCAGTTTGTTGCACACATCCAAAAACAAAGCACAAAAAAGTTGCCACCAAGCAAAAATATGATGACCTTCCCTGAAAAGCAGTCTCCCACGAAAAGGCAGAAAAATCGGACTTAGGAAGATCCAGGTATGACAAGAGACGTGTGAGAAGAGACGTGGCGAGGGTCGTGACAAGAGACGTGGGCGACGACGCACGTGACAGGAAACGTCTCCAAGAAAGACGTGACCGGAGATGCTACGTAGTTGCGACGAGAGGCGCGTCGAGACACGTGATGAAAGATGTGATGAAAGTCATGACGAGAGACGTGGCCAGAATTGTTACAAGAGACCTGTCAAGGGACGTGACCAAAAGCGTGACTAGCTACGCGATAGATGTGACAAGAAACGCTGTTACGTGAGACGCGACAAAGGACGTGACCAAAGACGTGACTAAGAGACCTGACCAGGAAAAACGAGAGACGTGACAAGAGACGCTATTACAGAGACGTGACTGCACAACCAAAAGAGGCATAGCCAGATACTCTACGTGGCGCAAAATGTCATAAGAGTCGTGGGAGGAGAGAAGTGACGAGATGAACCAGAGACGCGACGAGAGATGTGACAAGAGACGTGTGAAAAGAGACGCGGCGAGGGTTGTGACGAGAGACGTGACCAGAGACGTAACTCATGCGTGACAAGAGACGTGACGAGAGTCGCCAAGAAAGACGCGGCGGGAAACGCGACGGAGTCGTGACGACAGGCGCGGCGAGACACGTGATAAAAGACCAGAGGCGCGACGCGAGGGGTGACGACTCACATGACAAGAGACGTGACAGGAGTCGCCAAGAAAGACGTGATGGGAGACGTGACAGGGTCGTGACGAGAATTGATGAAAGTCATGACGAGAAATGTGGCCAGAGTTGCCAAAGGTGTGACTAGAGCCGTGACCAGAGACGTGACTATAGAAACGTGACTAGAGTCGGGACGCGAGATGTGACAAGAGTCCGCTTTCGTGTCCGCATTTGGATTTGTGGCTTAGGTCGACCGTGCATACTTTGTTGCCTTCTGGCGCAACTTCATGCAGTTTGAGCCGGCACTCGCAACACCAGACATCAGGTAGCAAGTGACACACAGCTTCACAACCAGTTCCACCGTCTGGACCATTACAGCGCCGACGCTGTGCCTTCAAATAAAAACGAGGCTATTCCCAGGAAGTGTTGGGAGCTGTCGTCGGTTTTGACGGAGCCACTGCCCCGGAGTTACGGGGAGCGACTACCAAGTGAGCCATCGAAATCCAGATGGTTCAAGACAATAGGCGGAGCCATAATTTTTTAGACGCGGGCCCCTTGTGATTCTGCACATGGTTGGATAGACACTCAGTGAACTCACTGGAGGCTGACTATTCCTGATTTCTGGTTTGGGGGTGTTGCATGATTCCAACACGCTTTTTCTGGTTTATCCCCCCAACATAAAACATGACCCCCGCTTCCCCCTACTCCTCCCAAACACCCCCTCATTGTCCGAAGGTTCCGCCTCACCACCGCCATGTTGGTGGTCCGACAGATGGCCTGTCCTTCCGCACCCAAGCGCCGCCCGCAGAGCCCTTGGACACCACGCTGTCGACGAATCCATCGAGTCCTGTGGTGTCTTACATGCGTTGGGAACCCTTCCACAAGAAAAGTAAAAAGGGCAAACTGGGTCCTTAAAAATCTGGGAGGGGGTGGTACTTGTACTTGTGGGGGAGCGCTAGGTCCTCCTGTGATTGAAGAAACTGAGAAGTCTGTATAAGTACACTTTGGTCGACCCTTTCAGGAAGAACTTCTTCAGCGTGTTCTTGAAATAGTTGACTCCTTCGTCAGGATCTTGCAAGGTCATTCTGGAGGACTGCCTTGTGCATGTGAGCGTCTCCGGTGAGACGGCTCTTGAGGAGTGGTCCTCCCTTGGATGCTTCTATGGTCGTAGAGGTCACCCAATCATCCACAAGTTCTTCATAGCTAAACCAGCTGACTTTTCCGTCGTACGATGGTGGCTGCTTCTTCAGTTTAGCCGGAAGACCGGCCAACACTTGAATAGGCTTCCATGAAGCCTTCTCCATCGTATGACATTGTGTATGGATCTCTGCGGAAAACCCGCTCCGAGACCGTGCTGTCTCCTTCCGATCTTTAATTTGTGCACTGTTGCTTCCCGAAGGGGCACCTTTGATTTGTTCTTGTGCCAGCTGGTTGCAGAGGTGTCAGCTGGTTGACTCCTACAGTGCCAAGCGAGCGGCACGCAGAACAACGAGATCCTCATATTCATCAAAAATTGACACCCTCTTGAGGAGACTGAAAGCAGCTTGGATGGACTTGATGCCCGCACACACGGCACAGTCACCAGAGTTCATAGCATCAGTACAAGAGGCCAATGCAAGAAGAATTGCCGCGCACCAACAAGCAGCTGGCACACGAGCACCGCCTCCAGATCTGCTGCAAATCGACAATCCAGAAGTACTCAGGCAGTACCTTACAGGCATGCAGACAAGGCACAGGGACGCATTTCCCCTCAGCGACAACCAGGGTTGTAACACTTTTCATAACACAGAGTGAGGAGTTATCAGATCAGCAGAGAGAAAGGCTGATCAGTGCAATGTCATTGAGAAACATCTCGCTTGAGAACTACACCTACGAGATGATCGATGAAAACGCAGTACCACGACCTCTTCATCACGACCGCAACATCCATCCAAGATCCATCCATCCGACCCCCAGGAGGAAATCGGAACAATACCTTCTACATCCTAGAACAAGGAGAATACGGAGGTGAAGAAGGCTTCTGGGTGGAAGACGAAGAAGGACAAGAAGGTTTCATGTCCACCAACGATGAAGAGACATTTTGGGTACTGGAGGAGAACGATGCGTTCATTGCGAGAAAGGTGTCTGGGCGGAATTTCAGATTCAAAAAGAAAATCAACAAGCAAAAAGAGCAGTCACCAACGAGGTGGCTTCAAACCCTTTCGAAAAGGTAGCTCTGGCGGGAAGGCCAATATGGCCAACGAAAATCAGGATCCCTACGACCAGGCATATTGGGGAAAAGGCAAAGGAAAGAAGGGAAAGACAGGAAAATCAAAATCCAATATCCCTATGATGGACACAAGGGCTATCCATCCTATGACAATGGCAAAGGAAAAGGCGGACAAGAGAAAGGAAAATCCAAAACGATCGCAGCCATCGCAGAGAAGACGGAGGAACAGCCCGCCATTCAGCAGACTGCACCATCCACAGAGCCTACCTATGCCGGTTGGACAGATCAAGATTGGGATCCATCCTGGAATTGGAGTGAACAAGGCTGGTACTCATCCCATGAGACATCCAGCACAGAACAAGCGATGATGGCATTCCATGACGCATATGAGCAGCATGAGAAAGACGCCATCGATGAGAAGCTGATCCAAGCCGATACGGTTTCTGAGCAGTCAATGACAGCGACAGCAAAACAAAGCCTTTTGGCAACAAAGCTGATGGCGCCTGTCATCAACCCACAGCACAATCCGACCTATGCGATCCTGGACAACGGATGTACCAGATCCATGGGCAGCTGGCATGCAATCCAGCGTTTTACCCAGGCCATTGAACCTATGAAAGACCTCATTCCGGCCGAGACCAAGTTCACTTTTGCAAA